CCCCTTCGGGGCGGGCGGGCTCTTCCGCGGCACCCGCAGCGCGGTCCGGTGGTGGGGAGAGGCAGCGAGCTGTGGGCGGCCGGGGCCTTGCGGCTCCGGGCGCCGTGATCCGCCGGAGAGAGGCGAGCACAGGTCGGGGCCGCCCAGGAGCCTCCCCGGGAGCTCCCGCCCGATCCGCGCCCCTGGGCCGCCCGCAATGGCTCTGCCCCTGGGAGACCGGGGTCTTCCCGAGAGGGCCTGGACGGCTCTGCCGGGGCTCCCGCTCACCCTCGGCCCCCCAAAGACACCCGCCCCCTCCGCTGCCCGCCCCGGGCGAACAAAGGAGCTAAAGTGGCCGGGGCTCGGGCGGGGAAGGGACGGGACCGGGGCGAGGGCCTCGGGCGTCGCCTGCCCCGCAGAGCAGCAGCCGCGGGATCGGGCCTCGCAGAGCGGACTGCAGAACCGAGTTTCGCCCGAGCGAAGCGCCCGAGGCAACCCGGCTCTTTCTGCCCCCACTAGGGCAGCGGAGGAAGCGCCCGGGGCTGGGCCGCGAAGAGGGGAGGGAAGCGGCCGCCTCTCCTCCTGCCGAGAACCGCTTCCCATCCAAGGAAAACCGGACTCGGAGGGGAGGAAATTGTTCCCCGGCACCATCACTAAAGCCCAGAGCTGGTCAGCCGAGCGACGGGGCTCCTTCGGCCGGGCAGCCCGAGGGGGGGCCGCTTCCTCAGCCCCAGGGCGGGGGCCACCAGAGGCAGGGGGTGTCGCCCCCCGAGGAGCCTTGGCTGAGTCGGGGCGCCCTCTCGGCTCTTCCGGGCTCTTAGGCGGCAACTCCACCGTGGCTCCCCCGGGAGGCCGGCGCAGAGCAGCGGAGGAAGGGAGAGCCACAACGGCCCGGGCGCCACCGCCTGCCGCTTCCAAGCCCTCCTCAAGGGCGGCCCTTCGCAGAGGCCGCCTGGCCCCCTAAGGCTCCCCGTTTGCAGAAACGGCGCCCCCGGGAGAGCCGCTGGGATGGGGGGAGGCCGCGGCAGGAAGACCCCGCAAGCATCGTCGGCGTGCGAGGGGGACAAGACGGCCGAGGGAAGCGGTGGGAGAGGCGGCTGGGGGGCTCCCGGGGTGCCGGAGGGTCAGCGGGCGCTCCGTTCCTTCCAGGGCAGACGCTGCCCCACCCCCCGCGCTCCCGGTTTTCTCCGCCGTCGGAATCTGCCGAAGGGACCGCGCGGTGTCCGTGGGAATAAGAAGGGGGCAGGGAGGGCCTGTTTGGGTTCAAGGCGGCTTCTCTCTGTCTCCCCCCTGCAGAAAGGCGGCCGGAGGAGCAGAGAAGCCGAGCGCCAGGCCTGCTGTGGCCGAACTCCCTCCCTCCCCCTCCGGTGTGCGCTCCCAGCTGCCTCCACGGCGGTTCCGGGGGTCTTTGCTGCCCAGCGGCATCTCGCAACCGCAGCGGGTCTCCTGCTTGGGGTCCACAACCCCCCCACCCCCGCGAGCCGCCCAACCGAGGCCCGCGGCTGCCCGTGTTTTCTGGAGGGCGGAGGGCCCCCAGTGAGGGATCTGCCCCGGCCAAGCATGGACCCCCCCCCGAACCTCGCATCCCCCGGATTGGCAGAAGGCAGGTGGCTTGTTGTGAGCGCCTCCCGGGACTCCGGAGCCCCAAAGGGCCGCTTGCCAGGGGACCCGTCGAGATCGTGGATGGGGACCCCCTCCCGCATCAAAGTCCGCTTTCGGGGGGGGCTACTTCAGGGCCGCAAGCCGAAGGGCCGATCCTTGCTCGCGCCGCATCGCCCCACCCCACCCCACCCCGCGCTTGGGAGGAGTGCCCGGGGCTCCTCTCCCCTCCCAGCACAGCCGTCGCAAAGGGGAGGGGGCGTCGGGAGACGGCTGGGGGTCCCCGCTGGGAAAGCGCTTCCTTTTCCGCCAAGGAGCCAAAAATAACCGCGATGCAAGAGGTTCCTGCGCCCCCGCTGCCCCTTCGCCCCCGCTTCGCTCGGGGAAGCCCGGACTCTGCGGAGGAATCCCGCCCGCGACCGCGTGACTCTCCTCCCCCCCCCCGGCTTCCCCCCTCCCC